CGCGGCCGGCGGGGCCACTCTAGGCCCCGTGCGGCGACCACCACCAGCTAGCTGTGGACCTCGCGCCAGCCGGATCCCAGCATCCGGGTCTAAGTCTGGGCGAAGCGTGAAAAGCAGCGATTTAAAACTGTAAAAACCTTAAAACTATGCGCACTTTTTGAAGTCGCGTGTCATGTCTACAAACAGACGTGTGCAGGGTGGGGGGGGTAAGACCGTCGAACGCCGTCGTCACTGACTCGCCTCATGTTTTATTTTAATTCCCCTTTTCCCGAATCGGCTGCCGCTGCCCGCATTTTATCATTTCAATCACCGCGGCGGAGAGGAGCTTTCGGGGTAAAACTTGCTGCATGTGCCGGCCGGGCGGCCGCGCCACGGCGCGCCACTCCCCTCCCGCGGGCGTCTCTCCCCTATCGGGGAACGATTTTTGTGTTTCTTTTTGTCCTTAATTAGGAAGGGATCCATAAATAATTGGCGGTCGGTTTCACAGGCGCGCCGTCGTCGTTCGGTTTGGCGGGCAGAGGCCGGGCCGTCTCCTCCCAGACGGGCCCCGGGCCGCCGGGCCGAACGGAGCCAGAACCAGTTTGGGGTTTGGCCGCGAAGGCGGGCCTCCCAAGTCCCCCCCGCGACCGAAGATACTCGGGCGGGGCGCGGATCGGGTCCAAAGTGCAGGTCAGGTCAGGGGTTGGTCCAGGAGGGGCGGACGCACACTCACCGTGTTGGTCGGATGCGGCCCGGGGCCCCGCCAACCCCAGCGAGGCGCGGGGCCCGGCGGGGACGCTGCGCACAGGCATGGGGCCGTGGGGGCCCTGAGCGGGGCCCTGGCCGAGGCTCGGGCCCTGGAGGGGGCCCAGGCCCAGGGGAGGGCCAGTGGTGGCGCCACCTGCAACACACAAACATCCACAAATTAGTCTACGGTACATAGAAAAGTAATACAATGGTTTTGATCGATTAGAGATGTTAAAAGCATTATTGGTCACTGAAAATCTTTTTTAGAAACTAAGTAATTTCTTTGATAAATTTG